ATAGATAGATAGATAGATAGATAGATAGATAGATAGATAGATAGATAGATAAGTATGTAAGTAAGTAAGTAAGTAAGTTTTGAGACTTTGGTCATGACTTTCTGATGAAGAGGAATGTGAGCTCTGCCCAGAAGATCAGCATCCAAACCAGAACCAGAGCATTCCCAGTAAAGTCAGCTGAGGTCAGCCTCAGAAAATCATCTGTCTTCTCCATCACATTGTCCTCTGGCCAGTGTGGCTGACTGTCTGTCCTCCAATCCCAGTAACAGACACAAATATTCAGATTAGTCAGATCATCATTCCATGCAATGAAGTTTCTCACCTCATGTTCTACCTTGTTCTGGGCTACATAGGGTTCCTGGCCATCATCAGCTTCACTGTCGCCTGCTTGGTGTGAACTCTGCCTGATACTTTTAACAAGGCCAAGTTCAACACCTTCAGCATGTTGGTCTTCTGTACTATTTGGGGCTTCTCCCACCCCACCTATTTGAGCCCCAACAGGAGATACATGATAGCCATTGTGGGTTTTTCGCTCAGCATATATCTTCCTCCCCAAATGCTATGTTATTTGACTGAGACCTATGGTGAATACTGGAGAACATCTGGTAATTAAAAAAAAGAAGAGTTGGGTTTCAGTTCTATCCTACATGGTGGGCTGTTTTATCTGATAGCCTTAGACTGTATTTGCATCTTGGTTGAGTTGTGTGCTTGTCTTTCCAAAAGCCTGCTTGGATTAGAGATACATGAGAATGACATTATATCATGACAGCTCCAGCAAACCGCATGACACCCAAGTGACTCTGCCTGTAGAGTGACATATTCACAGAAATGTTGATGTTAAATACTCAGGTTCTGGCTTATACAAGTGTGTAAGTGATGTCATTTCTGTGATGATGTGTTGTCATTGACCCCCTGCCCCCCTTCCTCTCATGCAGAAGCCCTTGAGAGCACAAAGAGTAAAGTAACACAATTCTTTCTCTCCATTCCTTGGAAGAGTTTACTCTTGAGATTGGGTCTGCAGTAGAGAAATGGATCCCTACCAATCCCTTTCATTCTTTCATGAGTAACAAAAAGCTGAACTAAAATGGCTCTACATTTTCTACAGTCCAGTTTTCAACATCCAGTTCCTATGGAAATGATGACTGTGTGCTGAAAAATGGCTTGATAAATGTTACCCAGAGAGACATTCCTTTCAAAAGTGTGCCATATGCATCGTATTCAGTTTGGTTCATTGCCTTGTTTTTGCAATCTTATATTCACTTCATCCATTCCTGTTAAAGTGTGCAGTTTCTTCTCTATCTATATTGTTGTTGTAATTTTTGCTATGCAACAACTGTAATGTTTTGCTAGTGATTTAAGGCATTATAACATTTTGGTGCATGTCTTTCCATAATTCAAATTTTTTTTAATGCTTTCCCCAGCTGGATTTTGTAAATATATGTTTCAAATTTGTAGATTCTAATTCCATCCCACTACATAAAAGCTGTGATTTGTGATTCCTGAGAAATATGACCTTTTTCTAGCCCTGTTTCAAAGCTGGGTGCTAAATAATACCTCTGTCCCAAAATATTCATTGGAATAATGGATTTAACTCTTCTTTGTGATAAACCCAACTCAAGCATTAGAGCATATTTGATGGAACCGAATGCCAGTCTTATTCTACCTTTATTTATTTCATTTTAATTTATGTAGATCTGACAATCTATATTACAGCTCTGGCATTAAATACATTATAAGGATCAAGTGAGCCAACTAAAGGGTCTTTATTGCATAAATAAATGAAACATCAACATATAGCAGTTTTCATGAAAACATTCACACATGACATTTTTATCACTGCACCCATAATATAAACTTGAATCTACAGCTGCTTATCATGTGAGTTTAATTTTCTCTTAGCCAAAAGTTAAGCCCTACTGTTATGAACTATGGAAGAGTCCCAGTGCAGGACTATTTAATGGATTGATTATTTGAAGAACCAGAAATGAGAATTTTGGGAACACCACTGTCCTGCCACAAGTTTCTGTGCAACTTGAAAACTTGCAGTGCCCAAATTACATCTTCCCTTCCCTGTTTGCTCAACAAACTGGCCTCTAGGCAGTGTGGTTGGATATCTCTCATCTCCTCACAGAGTTTGACACTCATTCCGTACAGGCTAGATAGTACAGTAAAGTAAAGGCTCAAATATGCTATATATTGTCCTGGCTTATATTGTGGTCATCAGCCTCAGTGTGGCTTTCTTTGCCAGTATGTTGTCAATTCAATGAAGCTGGCTTATATTGTGGTCATCAGCCTCAGTGTGGCTTTCTTTGCCAGTATGTTGTCAATTCAATGAAGCTGGCTTATATTGTGGTCATCAGCCTCAGTGTGGCTTTCTTTGCCAGTACGTTGTCAATTCAATGAAGCCAAGTGGACCACCTTTCATTATGCTTAACAGGTTGATCTTTGGCAAGGTCTCAGCATCCTTTATCCCCTTCTACCTAAGTACCAAGGGGAAAGGCTGTGATGGCTATGAAGATCTTCTCCAATTTGACCTCTACTGCTGGCTTATTGGGTTCCCATTCCCTACTAAATTCTACAAGACAAAT